TAGCGCATGAATTGGCAGATGGGGTTTGGGCTACAGTGTACTCGGGGGTCTACTACCTAAAGCTTCCAAAATCTGACTAGGGTCCGTTTTGCCTGTCCACTGCCTTTGATGTCCTATGATGTCTCAATAGTTCGTTACCTTGGCCACATTTATACTGTCTTATCATATTCCAGGAAGATCTTCGTTGGTGGTATTGCGTACGATGTGCTCAACGAAGATCTCACCAATCATTTCCAACAGTATGGAGAGGTCGCTCAGGCCCAGGTGAAGTTCGATCGAGTCACCGGCCGCTCGAGGGGCTTTGCCTTCGTCGAATTCGCAACAGGAGAGGGTTGCAAGGCAGCGCTTGCTGCTAGGGAGCAAGTGATCAAGAACAAGCAGGTGTGTAGAGTTGTTGATCATTTTTCGACCATGTACAAAAACTAACGTCCTTTTTTTTCTTTTGAATTAGCCGAGAATTCTTATAAGCTCCGCACAAGATGAATTTTTTAATGATGTCAATAGTTTATTTTCCAGGTAGAAGTGAAGCCGGCTAAGTCACGGGAGAACAAGAAAGTGTTTGTTGGTGGCTTACCATCTGACTACAACGAAGGCGAACTCCGAACGCACTTCGAAAAGTACGGAAAGGTCGAAGACATCGAGTGGCCTTTCGACAAGCAGACCAAAATGCGCCGTAATTTCGCATTTATTGTCTTCGAAGAGGAAGAGGCTGCCGATAAGGCATCCACTCAGCCGAAGCAAACCTTTGGCAATCGCGAATGCGATGTTAAGAAAGCAGTCCCTCAAGGAAAGCGATTTGCCGCCATGGGAGGTCGTGGTAACGGTATGAGGCCGTACGGCGGTCGAGGGGGCGTCAATGGAGGAGCGGCTTGGTATGGAGCCTGGGGACAAATGGGAATGCCGTATGGAGCTGGGGCCGCATGGGGAGATTGGTACGGAGCAGCCAACTCTTTCTATGGTCAACAGAACGGATCGGCCGCTTACCCGAATGCTTACGGTGCTGGAGGTATTGTTTGTACTTGGTTATAAGCATTTTCATTCTTTCATTCAATTATCATT